TGTTTATATTCAAAAGAAGCATAGAGTGGTGGAATATAATTTAGGTTTTTAGTAAATTTTTTCTTTTTTTTTTTCTTTTATATATTTTACCTACTCATGTAGAATAATATACTTTGTGGAGTTAGAGATACTAATATTTGTTTACTTATATCTGAATATTATCCTGGGATTAGGTTTGGGAAGTCCGGGGGGGTGGGGGGTCTTTCATATAGCATTGTGTAACATTTGTGATGTTTTTTTTATGATGAAAAATAATAAAAAATTTATATTGGAAAAAAAAAAAGAGTAGTACTACTTGCTCAACAGTAGTAACTGTGAGAGGGATCTCGGAGTCCTAGTGGACAATCACTTAAATATGAGCCAGCAGTGTGCTACAGCTGCCAAAAAAAGCCAACACAGTGTTAGGCTGCATTAACAGAGGGATAGAATCAAGATCACGTGAAGTATTAATACCACTTTACAATGCCTTGGTAATGCCACACTTGGAATACTGCATCCAGTTTTGGTCACCACGATGTAAAAAAGATGTTGAGACTCTAGAAAGAGTACAGAGAAGAGCAACAAAGATGGTTAGGGGACTGGAGGCTAAAACATATAAGGAACGGTTGCTGGAATTGGGTATGTCTATTTTAATGAAGAGAAGGACAAGGGGGGACATGATAGCAGTGTTCCAATATCTCACGGGCTGCCACAAAGAAGAGGGAGTCAAGCTATTTTCCAAGGCGCCTGAAGGCAGGACAAGAAGCAACGGATGGAAACTAATCAAGGAGAGAAGCAACCTAGAACTAAAGAGAAACTTCCTGACAGTTAGAACAATTAACCAGTGGAACAACCTGCCTCCAGAAGCAGTGAATGTTCCAACACTGGAAGTTTTTAGGAAGAGACTGGACAGCCATTTGTCCGAAATGGTATAGGGTTTCCTGCCTGAGCAGGGGGTTGGACTAGATGACCTCCAAGGTCCCTTCCAACTTTATTATTATTATTATTATTATTATTATTATTATTATTATTATTATTATTATTATTATTATTATTATTATTATTATTA